GGAGGGAGGGAGGGAGGGAGGAAGTTCTTTCTAGTAACGATCCATCTTCTCCTAATACAATTAGGACTGAGAGAACACTCTCTTTGCAAGGGAACCCTCTTCCGAATCCATCCATATTCAGAGTAAATGGATGTTTCATCCCAGATTCCCAGTCTGGCCATCCCCCAGAGAATTCTGGGAAGTCTCGTTTCATGGCCAAGAGTAGTTCATTCTAAGTTTAAAGTCCACAGCTGGGTTGGGGGGCCCAAGCCATTCTCTGGGCAGGATGGCGCGCACACACACACCCCTCTGTTGCCCCTTGCTAAAGCCAGCAGATTTGAGAGCCAGGGAGCTGAGCGAATTGGCACAGAAGATTCAGGATCCCTCACCTGCCGCTTCCAGCTTCACCAGAACATCCCCTCCCTGCTCCCCCTCCCAACATTACTCCGTGACCCTGACGCAATTCTCACGCCTAAGCCATGATTTGCACACCCCAATTCCACGCTCTTCTGTACCAGGTGTAAAAGCGAACGAAAGCCAAACATCGCAGGCCGACCCATTGCGATGCCAGGGCCAGAGTGCCCTGCTGGGCCTTTCTGGAGGGGAAGAGACCCAGTTGCTCCTCCTCTCCCACCTTTTGCACACCTTTTTCCACAGCCTGCCTTTGCGCTCCAAGGCATCCCCGGCCGGAGAAATTTCCCCAGGACTCTGATGTTCTTCAGACTTGGTGGTGGCCACGCAATAACCTCAGACTCCAGAGAGCTGGAGAGTAGGATAGGAAGCCAAAAGAAGAGAAAAGCATGCCCCCCTCCCCCCACATCCAGCCTGACATTTGTGACAACCGGTGATCTTCCATCGTCTCCCCAACTAGCTGCCTAAAGAGTCAGGCCAAGCTTCCCAGGCTGGCCGGGCACTCCTGAGGGATGACTCGAGAAGGTCAACCCATCTCTGAGCAGGAAGAAAGAGAACAAATTCGGCTCCCCCGAGGCTTATGAAAGGGTCAGGAATGGCTTTGGAAACAAAAAAAATGAGAGAAAGCCTCGTTTCTCTTTTCCACATTCCACTTTTACATGCTTTTGTCCCCACCCCTAGAAACAATCCTCAGACCTTTGTGAACTGCTGGTCCGCTGGCCTCGCCTTCAGTTCTGCGTTCAGCTGTTCTTTTCAAAACCGAGAGAGAGAGAGAGAGAGAGAGAGATTTTCTACCACCAACCCCCAATTCCTTGTCACCCCTTTTCCACTCATCTCTTCTCTTCCTTTTGCAAAAAGAAGATGAGATCCAAGCAGGGGCCCATTTGCAAGCCCCCGTCGAAAGGAACCGCCGAGCTCGGACGCAGCTCCTTCTGGGCGGGCGCCCCTGGCATGTCAGCCCCCCCTCGGCCTCCTGCATTATTTTTCTAGCCTTATTTCCAAGCGGCAAAGAGGGAGGGGACGTTTGTAAATAAAAGACTGCTTGGACGGAAGGCCCTCCGAGTCGGGGTGCGAGTCTGTCTGGCCAGGTTTTGTTCGCTGTGTATTTATCTTTGTCGTTCGGAACATCCTCTCTCCTGTCTCATGTTTTTTATGGTCTTTTCCCCCCCTTAGTTTTAATTTTATTATTTCTTTCTTCACGGTCCATTGTGTGTCCTGTGATGGTGTCCTGTTGTACAATACCATATGTTGATAAATACCTGGCTGCACTGTTTTTCAATGTAAGCACATGTAAATTAACTATTACTGTCATTTCTTAGGAAAAGGCCCTAGAATATATCAATATACCACCTTAATTGGCTCCGGAAGCAAGTCCCTCTCTTAATTTTCAGCGGATTCCTGTCTCTTGTGGCAAAAGAGGGTTTTGCCCTTTTAATCCCGCTCAACAGCCAGAGCCGTTTCCTCTACATCATATTATGTCTCGCTTGATCCGTTGGAAGCGGAGAAAAGCTATCCCTGTGGCAAACTAAAGGCAGGTGACGTCTTTTTAAAAAGAAAAATTCCCAGTTGCATCTGGAAGCTTGTGTCAGTGCACCGCATATACCTTCCCGTTGATGAGATGCAGTCAACACTATGTTGGCTTACAAGATGGTCGCCAACCTAGAGATCCTAGATGGGAAATGCTGGTCAAAGCATGCAGTGGAAAGAAATGCTGTGAATGTTCGTGTCCAAGAAAAAAATGGATGGTCGTGGTGGCTGGAGAGCACAGTTGCTGTGGTCCAGCCCATCTGAAGGACACCAGGTTTTGTAGGGGAGGGGCTGTTTGCATGGTGCGGAGGACACCAGCCGATTGGATGTGGGAGCTCTATGAGTTTATAACGTTAGGAACCCAAAGATAAATTTTAATCCAGAAAGCGTAGCAGTTGCACACCAGGAACAAATGTTTGGGAAAGTTTGCATTGGAGATTTCTGGCATTCTTCAGATCAACCAGGCACACGCATATCCATCAGTACTGGCTGAGCTACTAAGGAAGTGCGGCATCTTCCCAACGGGGGAATCATCTCAGGTCTGGGGTTCAAAAGGTGCCTCGGTCCAGGCATCCAAAGCTTTTTGCCCTTGCTCATCCTCCATGCATCGTCATTCATTACACTGCATCAGCTTAGAGCAATGTTTCTCAACCTTGACAACTTTAAGATGGATGGACTTCAACTCCCAGAATTCCCTAGCCAGCATTCCTGGCTGGGGAATCCTGGGAGTTGAAGTCCACACAGCTTAAAGTTGCTGAGGTTGAGAAACACTGCTCTGGGACATTCGGCACTTGATCCTCCATTGGTAGTGCAACACGCAGAAACAGCACGAGGTGCCTTCAGTTGCCAAATGGCTGGTACCGAAGCAGCGATGCCAGCTTCTCAAAGACCTGCAGCCTTGAATCCGTTCATACGTTCCTTAGATTAAAAGATGTTTGGAAAAAGTGAATTAATTTTAGAACTTTAATCAGAACAGAAGGGTTTGGATTCATCCGCTAGCAAAAGCACACGCAAGGGAGGATTCCGTTCAAGGGCTTCCCAAAACTGGCATCTCCTTGCCAGAGGATCGGGGGTCTGCAGGGTGGGGTCAAAAAGAGTCAGTGCACATAAAAATGGGCAAAGTTTCAATCACCCGGGCTTGGCCACCATCTTGACTTTTTTGACCCCACCCTGCAGACACCCCTGGCCAGAGGCCTCGTCTTTCATTGTTAGCCATTCCCATATCGCCCCCAAAAGAGGACAGAAGTGGGCATAGATTTGCAGAGCCAATCTTTAGGCCCAAATACACATTTTAATATCTCATTCCATAATGCAGAGGAAAATGAATTGTGCCTGTGCTGCTGAGGCTACAGGTACACGTACACACGTGTGCACATGCATACGTGGGTGTCAGCCCCGCTATGGGGACCAAATCAACTCCACCAGAAGGCTCAAACTATGTTTATTACTCTTGGCTCCAGTAACAGAATCTTGCAAGTCTGACTGGGCTTTACTTCCCCTCCGCCCCACCCCCTTACACTCATGTGAATTAGGGGGGTGTCTGCCTGAGTCACTTGTGCAGTTTTGGACGTAAACCATGTTTTTTCCCCTTGGTTGGTAACAAATCTGACCTGTCGCTGTCAAGGTCACCTTCCTTGCTCTCTGCAGTGGGCAACTGAGTGCCCTTGCTAGTTTTTCTTCTTCAGTTTAGGATTTCTCAACAGAGCTAGTGGGACAACCCTTCAAACAGGCCATCTTCTAGAAAGCGGGATGCCACCTCTCCTGTTTTGGGGACATAGAAAACAAAAATCTGACTGCATCATCTTCCAAGAAAGAAAATGAGCTCCATGTTTCTTGTCTGTGGCAAGAGTCTCCCACCAGCTCAGCTGTACCAGAGAAGATGGCTTTGCAGATGATTCTCAGCGATTGGACCACTTGCCCCCATCCATCATTTGGCAGTCTTTATTGCTCGGGAGGGGGGGAAACAGCAAGAATCCTTTGGGGGCAGCCCAGACGAGGGGCAGGTGGTCCCCCCCCCCTTTTGCCAGGTCCTTCTCAGCCGCTGAGACCAGTCTCAGGTAAGGGCAGAGTGACGGCACACCCTTCCTCTGGATGCGCTTGGTTCAGAGGACTTTTCAGCCACACTCTCAGGACTCCTTGCAGGGATCAAAGCTAGCTAGCAGCTCAGTTTGGTCAATTGTCTTCCTTAGAAAATACAGCTATAGTCTTCTGAACTGGATGAAGAAGTAGGCCAGGCTGGGGAGAGGATGATTTTGGCCCCCTTGCAACGTAAGTAAGAAACACCTGAGCATCCTTTCAGTGAACTGTTGCCTTTCCAGTCTGCCTGGATTCTCTTCCACTCATTCCCAAAGCTCATCCCAGGCCGCTTTTCCAAATCTGGCTGCATAGTTCGCAAGCCAGCATCCTCCTATATTGCTGCTGCCCGGCAGAGGTGCCTGCTGGCTTTAGCTGGGCAGCTGGCATGGGGCTCCTCCTCTTCGTCCTCGTGTCCTCCGTCTGGCAGGCCTAGCCATAAAATCAAATATTGTCCGGCTTTTCAAGCGTCTGGCTTTTTGTTTTCACTTTGGATTGTTTTCACAACAGTAGGGATTCAAACGTTCATGTATTGTGAGCTGGAAAAATATTGGAATTGAAAAACCAGTCTTTCTGAGGCTGGAAAAAGTCATTGCATATACATGTAGGCCTAAGTACATTTTTTCTGCAGTTTTTCACTGATTTTTGTCGCAGATGCCAAGTTAAACAGTTAGGGTGTCCTCCTTTCCAATTGTCCGTGTCCTCCTTGGCCTGTTCAGCTATTTGGCAACCCTAAGCTGGGATGACCTTCACGCCTTGGGTGACCTTGCTAAGAGTGCATCTTCTTGGCATACAATCCCAGCATTCTTCTTCGCCCATCCCTGCCACGGGCACCCTCTGCCACGATGAGGCAGTGCAGCAGCGGGCAGCTAGTGGAGAGAGAGGGACTCAGAAGGGATTCACCGGTATTTTTCACAGCTCTCAGTGATGACCCGAACCCTGAAGCACCACCAAAGCCATTCTAACGTCTTCTAAGAACCAGAAAGAAAACCGG